GAGAGAGAGAGAGAGAGAGAGAGAGAGAGAGAGAGAGAGAGAGATCTTAATGTTTCCTTATTGCATTTCATTCTTGGCATGAAAATATGTTATATAGTATGCTAATGTTGAGTTGTAATACCATTTTAAATTAATTCTTTGAAGATTTCATGCATGTATACAATGTATTTTGATCATGGGGGGGGGCTCCAGCTTTTCCTAGACACATGACTCCCCACCCCCAAGTTCATCTCTTCTTTTCATAGCTCACTAAGTCTGGTGCTGTCCTCACGTGCAGGGGTGTAGGGTGGTCCACTGGAGCATGGGCATGCTAACAGGCCACTTCCCGGAAGACAACTGACTCTCGCAGCAGCCTTAGGGGAAGGGCTGCTGATGTTATTAAGTAACCTTTTAACTTGGCAAGAATTACATTTAATCCTGAGTAAGCTTCACTCTTTTTCGTTTGTTTGCTTTTGTTTTTATTTTTCAAGCCAGTGTTTCTCTGTGTAGCCCTGGCTGTCCTGGAACTCACAGATGCTTCACGAGTGCTGGGATTAAAGGCATGCGTCACCACTGCCTGGCTACTTCACTCTGTTTTAATGAACCCTTTGGATGGGAATTTGCTGTTGTGGGTGGAGCAGGTGAAGTTTGGGGTCATGTTTGTTAGCCCTTTAACTGAAACATTGTGTCGCTGTCTTTTTGTAAGCCATGGCGCCCCCTTGCTCCTGCACTCATCTACAGGACCATTTCCCCCTTGCAGACTAGAACCAGCTGACTGTAGGTCTGACAGTAGCCGCTGGGTCTGGCCTGTGTCCTGGATCTCTCTGGAGCTTTTAAGACTTTTTATGAGAATCTCTCCGACTCCTTATCAGAGCTGTTTTGGAAATGAACCCTTAAATAGATATGTCTGTTTCTCAGCTCACAGCAGATTGCTGTAGATCCCAGCTTAAAGCAGCAGGTAGACAGTCTTTGGTCCTGTGGCTTGTGTACCCTCCCCTGGGCTGCCCACCACATATATACAAGTGTGTTGCAAAGACCCTCAGGGAAGATCCATTCAGTATGTCTCACACCACCTCTTTGGCTCCTCCACCTCCTTCATTGTATCAGAACCCCTGTGATCACACTGGGCTACTCATCCAGAATGATGCTTTGGTTTGAAAGTCAACAGTCTACTCACCAGTGACAGGGTTGGGCATCTTTCCAGAACAGAGTAGAGGGAGTGCCCTGGGATGTCTGGGAAAGCATTTTGCTTTCTACAGTAGGTATAGCCATTGTGGGATTATTTAGTACCCCCTGTTTATTTAATATTTAGTGAAGGTTTTGAGAGAGTTTTTCACCAGAAAACAGAAAGTTCCAGGGAAGACAGTTACTGTTACCCTCTGGGAGTTTCCATTCTGCCCAGGGGAAATCATGGCCCCAGCATGGGCATGGTGTTGTCAGGAAGGAGCAGGCACTGTAACAGGTGCACACTCAGCACTTTGAGAGGATAACACTCTTGAACAAGGAAGAGCAGAATGTACATAGGACAGTCAGAGGAAGAGCGGGTCCTGTGGGTGTACAGGTGATGGGAAACCCTGGCTCTAGCCCTGCAGTTGGAACTAGGCTAGACTAAGACCTTGCAGCTGTACAGAGGAGGACTTGGACTGCCAGATTTGGCATTCTGCTTCCACTCTTTAGGCACATGTTGGTGCCCCACCCCACACACATACACAGCCAAGCTGTAGCCTTTGGCTATAGTGTTTTAGAGCTAGAACTGTGCCAGTACTGAAAAGTCTACCATCTACTTCCCTTTCTTTCCTTTCATGGTTTACCTGGCGTGCCAAGGGTTTTTGACTCCTGGTAATCAGGCAGGGCTTGAAAGAGAAGAATTGCTGTATCAAATCTTACATGGCATATGAGAGCCTTTGCTTGTACATTTTATAATCTTTCCCCCACCTGACTTAACAGTGGGATTTTCGGATGCAGGGTAGATAGGAAATAGGAAGAACATGAGGAAGTCAGCTGTGGTAACTAGGAACCATGCTGGGTATGGACTCAGACCTGAGCTTGAACCTGAGTTCTGTATACTGAGTGTGTGACCTGAAACATAGTCTCTACAAGGTTTATATTCCCAACTGGTTATGGGAACAGTGGTGGTCAGTGAACACAGCAGGGCCCTTGGAAAGAGGAGAGAATATGTTTGAAAGTGGGTGTTACTGCCCGGATTGGACAGACTCAGTCAGTGTTTGTTAAACAAATGGACATCCTAATCACACTTGGATTTTTTTCTCTGTGCTTTTTAAGTGCCCTAGAGCACCTTTCTGAACTGCATTAGTACTACTAGTCAGGACCCTGTGGGAAGCTGGACTAACCTCTGTCCCACATCTCCAGACAGACCTGGTATGTGTAAGGATGCTGATCATCTTCAGTGCTTCCTGTGCATAGATTTGTGAGGAGCACTGTGAAGGCTTCCTGGGCAGTTCCTGGTGAACTAAAAAGAGAAGCATGCGTGTAACAGCTAAGTCAGCATTTACAGCATGCCACATGGGAGGTGTGCAGAGGTCCTTTTAAATGCACAGCCAAGTGAAAATTAGCCTGAGTTGGTCTACAGAAAATGTGTGGAGAACTGAAAGTTCAGCAGATCCTCTTGCAAAGGCAAGAATGGAGGCCTGAGTGAGCAGTAGTCATGGGACAGAAACAGGCCACTGCTGGCTAATCATCCTCTCCCTCTCAGAACACTTGTTGCCAAGACTGTGACCTGAGTTTGGATTGCTAACTCCCCACTGACATATAGGTGTTCTAGAGCAGGGTTGGTTTAGTTTCTAGTACTGGAGATGGAACCAGGGCCTGGAGGATCCCAGACAAGGGCTCCTGTGCCTAAGCTACACCAGCAGCCCCACAGTAGGCTTGTTATTAAACCTGAAGTCAGCCCTATCAAAGTAAGAATTTCACAGTCCTTGCTTCTTGCTCATCTGTGGGAGCACCCACAAAGACGGTGGGGATCCATGTAGGTTTAAATAATTGTCCAAATCATCTCTAACTATGTTGCTCCCACAAGTTCTGTTTATATACCTGCAGCTTTGGTCTCAGGATCTATCCCCTACAACACCTGAGAAAAGAAATGACTGTCAGTGAATATAGATACAATATACTCAAAGAATTGCCCCTTATTGAGCTCATGAGGTACACTGTCTGGTATAGTCTGTACTTTCCTTAGGCATCACCTGTGCCTAACATCATAGGTCACTACAGTTAGAAGAAGACGCAGTCGCTTGTAAGAGACCCTCCCCCCACTCCATGAGAGTTAGTGTGGTAGAGTTAGTGTGGCAGAGTTAGTGTGGCAGAGTTAGTGTGGCAGAGTTACCGTGGCAGAGTTACCGTGGCAGAGTTACCGTGGCAGAGTTACCGTGGCAGAGTTACCGTGGCAGAGTTAGTGTGGTAGAGTTAGCGTGGCAGAGTTAGCGTGGCAGAGTTAGCGTGTTAGAGTTAGCATGGTAGTGGCTGTGCGATCCTAAAACCAAAGTTGTGAGTTGGTTATGGTGGCTCATGCCTGTCATCCCAGTATTCTGAGTATGGAGGCAGGAAGACCACTAGTTCAAGGCCATCCTGAGCTGTATAGCTAGACCTTGTTTTAGCACACACCCCTCCGAGCAAAATTAGAAACAAGTTTTGGAATTCGAAGTTCAGAGTCTCCCTGGGGCTATGCTGTAGTGTGTGGGAAAGTGTGCCCACTCAGTGTATGCCTGTCCATATAAAGTGTACTGTCTTTTCCATTGTAGATTTCTCACATTGGGAAGCTGAGAGATTTTCTCCTGGAACACAGGAAGGAGTATATTAATGCTTACAGGTAAGTGGGTTCTTCTTTAAAGACTTGAGTGGCTGCGTTCCTTTCTGTTGTACATTCCGCTCTTTTTCGTCCTCACTTTTTACTAATTCACAGCTGTAGTGTCTGTTACAGTGGTAACTCCATGGGAGGAAAGGGGTTACTTCATTTTCTACTTCCATTCAAGGTCTATGATTGAGGGAGGCAGGAACTGATGCACAGGCTGTAGAAGAACACCGCTTACTGGCTTGCTTCTCATGGCTTGCTCATCCTTCTTGCATATACACCCTGGACCACCTGCCAGGGGTGACACCACATCAGTGATTACTGAGGAAAATGCCCTCCACTACAGACAGTCTGATGGAGGCATCGTCTCAGTTACATTCCCTCTTCCCAGATGACCCTAGCTTCTGACGAGTTGACAGACACTTCCCATGGCTTCAGCCAGGTTATAGGGCAGTGTGTGTGTGTGTGTGTGTGTGTGTGTGTGTGTGTGTGTGTGTGTGTGTGTGGTGGTGAATATCTGCAGAGTGAAGCAGAGCCACCATGGTGGGTTTGTGCTGAGTCACTGGTGGCCCCTTGTCAGCAGCAGACTCTTCCAGTCTGTGTGTCTCTCTGTCCATCTTCTACTAATGGATGACACTAGTCACCTGACTGTGGATAGTGCTGTGCACAAAGGTGAGAACACGTGTGTCCATGTCCCCTGAACCTGGAGAGGAACAAGATTTTTAAGGCTCTCCTAAGTTATTTTGACCTATGTTTGGCCATCTCTGTCTGTGACTTTACTTCTCTGGTTTGGTGGCATTCTTGTGAGCCTATTTCCAGCCCTCACCCTGTGTCTGTCACTGGGTCATGCTTATCTTGCCAGTTCTCTTCCTAATGGCAACCTCCTTCTTTTGACACTCCCTAGAGACAGAAACAAACCTCTCTGGCTTGGCCTTTGTTCTGATAGCGTATCTCAGGAGGGCTTCATTCAGCCCCTCATGTACTTATGGTCACGTTCCTCCTGGTGATGAAGTCCCATTTCTATCAGTAGCCGTTTGCTTTCATCACCGCCTGAGTAGATCCACCACATTGGTATTGGCTCACCTTCTCCTCTTAAATCAAGCTCCTAGACCCCTTCTGCCACAGTGCTCCAGCCTTGCCAGCCTTCCTGGAAGGCTCCAGGCTCTTTCCAGCTGCAGGGCATGCCCAGATGAGGTGCTTCCTATCCCACACATCCCCCTTCCAGCTTCAGCCCTCAGCTTGTATACTCTGTAGTGTATGGAGGACAGAAGAGAGCCCATGCATGCTGAGGCCTTAATTAAACTGTCTTCTAAGAGGCCCTTTCTACCACCACCCCTGACAGATCTCTCCTGTTAGTGTTGATTTCTCCAACTTGTGTATTTTCTTTAAACATGAATCACAGTGTGTAATTATTTAATCAGTTAGTAGGTTTTTGTCACTGGTTTGTAAATTTTGTGAGGTCAAAGACCTTAATTTCTCATAAAAATTCCTATAATGCTTCAGCTATACTTTGCACTCAATCAATATTTGTCAGATAATACACAAATGATTCCCTCATATCCCCAAGGCACATGGCTAGCCACTGGTTCTCATCCACGGGTGTTTTGGCACCATCTTAAAAGATTTTGTCACAACAGTGAGAGGAGTGCTACAGGCATCTGGCAGGTGGGGCAAAGGCATGCCGATCATTCTGCAATGCACAGCACAGCCTTCCCCAGCCACAGGGCAGCTGGCATTGACCCTGAAGGGGCTTTCCCAGCCTGACCTGCTCACTGTCCACACATACATGGATCTGTGAACACCTGCCCGGGGCCTTCTGCAATTTTCGAGGCGTAGAGAACATCAGAGAGTAAGGCAGAAACTATCCCTCCTTTTTACAGCCTGCATGCTAGAGGGCTGGCACAGAATTGATGGTGACATGTAAGGACAGAGCAAGCCATGGGGTGGGAGTGCTGGGGATGTTTGCCGGTTTTTCCGTAGTGTGGTTAGGACAGGCCTCTTGAGGCTCCTCCTTGTAGATTCCTCTCTGAAGCCTGAACTCCCCGGCAGGATTGTGTCCTTCCTGCCTTGCTCTTTTCTCTTCCTTTTCATCCTCCACAGAGAAGGCAAAAGTCCCACTGGGCCCTGTACTCCCAACCCCAGTGCTTCTGAAAGCCAGCTACATACATGCTTCCCATTGGTTTTGATGACTTGGCCCTCTTCTTCCCTTACACACACACACACACACACACACACACACACACACACACACACACACACACACACACACTTACCTTGCTTCCTGCTTCCTCCCTAAGCTACACTGTTTCATTTCACTGCCAAACATCAGGGTCTGCTAACTCGCTGGAAAGAGGGTTAGCACCTCAGACTTTGGGCCATGCACGCTTTCTGTCACGTGTGTTATTGTTTGTTTATTACCTTTGAAAAACAAAAGCAGAACAACTTCTTAGCCCCCAGGTTGCACAGAAGCAGACCTGAGGGCTGGATTGGGCTGTGGTTTTCAGACCACTGGTGCGTGCCCACCGTCCTCACCATTTGCTGTGCTGGAACCCTGCACGGAGAGCGAGCTCCATTGCCCTCTCTGTTCTCCCGGGTTTACTTTCTGATGTGCTCATCATCAAATCCAAAGGCTTCTCTCAAACTGTGTTAATGGAGTCACACAGAGCACACCCATGTGCCTACCTTCTAGTACACGAAACACGCGTTTATTCTCTTATTTCTTCCACCATAGAACTTTGAGGGTTTTCTTGGCTCTTTTGTCTTATTTGTCTTTGCATTTGAAACATACCCTAATTATTGTGTTGGTCAGACTTTCATCCCTGTGACAAATACCTGAGAGAGTAACCTAGATGTAGAGATGGTTTATTTTGTTTCCTGATTTCAGGTTTCTGCTCATGGTCAGTTTGCTTTATTACTGTGGGCCTGGTAAGGCAGAAAGTCATGGAAGTCATGACAGAGACTTTGGCAGGGCAAAGTTGCTCACTTCTCAGCAGCCAAGAACTGAGAGAAATGGGATAGCTGCCACCCTTCAAAGACATGTCTACGGATATGCTTCCTCCAGACAGGCCCTGCTTGCTAATAGCTCCTTGATGCTGTTTGTGGGCTGACATCCAGTCATGGTTCAGTACTAACCAGCTGTGGGGACCAGGCCTCCAACACAGGCCTTTAGAGGATCACTTTATAGTCCGACTGTTGCAGAATATTCCTTTACATTGTGTGAAGATGTGTCACTGTGATTGGTTTAATAAAGAGCTGAATGGCCAATAGCTAGACAGGAAGAGGTTAGGTGGACTTCTGGGGACAGAAAGGACTTGGGGAAGAAGAGAGGTGGAGTTGCCAGCTAGACTCAGAGGAAGCAGGACCTGCAGGAAGAGAGGTGAAAGCCATGAGCCACATGGCAGCTGTAGGTTAATAGAAATTGGTTAATTTAAGTTACAAGAGCTCAGTAGAAAGAAGCCTAAGCCAAGGCCAAGCTTTCACAGTGAATAAGAAGTCTGCGTGCCATTGTTTGGGAGTTGGCAGTAGAAAGACTTGCTCCGTCAGACAGACGGCAGTCCTCTATCTCCCCACACACTCAGCCGTCCTTTGTCCGTCTGTGAGGGCACTCCGAACTACGAATGTCGTTTTTGTCTCATTTAGTCCTGAATTCCCCTGCTCATCTTTACTGAGTGCCCACCGTGTGCCACACTCCACTCCATGCCAGGCAAGAGACAGCCATTCTGCTCCTTGTCACACAAGCAGACAGCACTGTAAACAGGAGAGGCACCACAGAAGCAGAGCTCGGGGTTTGGGAGACCCTGGCCTTGTCAGGGAGGACATCTTTGAAGAAGAGACACCTGAGCTGAGGTCTGAAGGAAAAGGAGTTACCCAAATGCCGGAAAGGAGGAAGGGAATCAGTGGGTCCAGTGAATACACCTGCTGTATTCACTGCGCCTGGGAATAGTGCCTGTCCTGTTGTGAACCGTGTAGCAGAGAACCTCATATCCAAGGTGACTGCAAGCAGCCCCCAAACTTAACAAGCAATTTTATGCTTTTAAACATATTTCATTTTAGTGTCTCAGAATACCCTGAGATGTTTGTAATCCTGCTGCGTTGTACTGCGTCATAAAGCCCTCTGCTAGCTGGCTCTGAACACTAGATGGCAGTGTAAATTTTATTTCTGAAGGTGTGTCCCTGTATCAGGTACTAAGTCAATAGGTTGCTAACTAGAAGCTGCAGTGATTTGAGGAAATAGAAATGGTTGGAGCCTAGCAATTTCCAGCCCTTTTCCTTGTCTCTAAAAGCTGAGGCTACAGGTGCAATTGTATAGACCTTTCTTGAAAGTCTTTTGCCTTGCCAATGGCACTCACACAGGGATACTGACCATTCCTGAGGCTTCCAGGCTTGCTAGACACGTGTGGAGCTCTGTGATTGTTGTCAACTGACTTGACCGGACTCCAAGTCACCCAGGAGATAAGCCTCTGAGTACCCGTGGGAATTATCTAGGTCAGGTTAACCGATGTGGGAAGATTAACCTTAGCTGTCGGCAGGACCCCTCCCCTGGGTGGGGACTGTGAACTCTTTGAAACAGCAAGCCGAGCACCAGCTTTCATTGTTCTCTGCTTCCTGGTTGTGAATGCAGTGTGATCAGTGTGATCATCTGATTCCAGCTTTTGCCGCCTTGGCATGCCTTCTGAGATGGACCATACCCTCAACACTGGGCTGGAAAAGCCTTGCACTCTTAAGTTGCCTTTGTCGCAGCAACAGGAAAAGACTAAAGGAGCCACCCCATCAAGTGGCACAGTACAAGAATAACAGAATGCTTCTATACCCAGACTAAGCCAATTTCCCATAAAAGCCAAAACTAGGAAGAGCATTGTGCTGAGACTTGAGTAACAATGTTGAATGTAACTGCAAACATAAGAAAATTCTGGCTGTTAAAAGATGCAAGATTTTGAATGAGGAAAAGAGAAGAAGAGAAAGGGTCAAGAGGTCCAGTTCCAAGCTACTTTGTTACAAAGACAATAAATCCTGGGGTT